AAGTGAAACTGCCTCGGTGCTATCCGCAGAATGTACCCCTCACTGCCATCAAGCCGCCAGCTGCTACCTGTGGCCCCCAGCTTGACCGGAGCTCGGGCGCCACCTGCCGGCGGCGCTGAGCAACGGCAGCGGGAAACCCCTGCGCGCATCCGAGCGCAGACCTCATTGCAGCGGGCGGGGTCTCCCGGCCCGCTGCCTAAACCCTTGGGCACCTAACCCCGAGGCTGGCGACCTCGCCGAACCTCTCCTGGGGCTGGATTTGGCCGTGCCGTAAGAGCAGGAAGTCCGGACAGTGTTGCTCAGGCGGCCTGTATGTGCCTCGGATGCGAACCCCGGGCTCGCGTGCACCTAGTGGGACAGACCTCCGCAGGCCGGCGTGGTGCGGCTGTGGCGGGATGAAGGGAGGAGCCTGTCGGGGTCCTGGCCGGTGGGTGGCCGGGAGGAAGGAGTGGGTGGAGCCTGGGGCGGGGCGGTTCCGCGCTCTCCCTAGCTAGCCGGCCGGCCCTGCTCACCTCTCGTCCGGGGACATGACGGGCACGCCCGCCGCCGCTGCCGCCGGGGATGGCGAGGGTGCCCTGCGCTCCTCGCCCTGCAGTCCGAGCTACGATCTCACGGGCAAGGTGGGTGGGCGCTTCGCCCGGCGCTGGGTTCTCCTCGCTGGTTCTGAGGGTCACCCCTTCCCGCGCCCTCTCCGGCCCACGCCCCTCTCTGGCTGCATCTACACTGGGTACAGCCCTTACCCAGGCAGTCAGGTCCCCTGAGGAGGGAGGAAAACCAAGAGGTAGCCCTGGGCCCAGCTCAGCCTCTAGAAAAGTGGGCTGTCGTGGAAGGCACAGGGTAAGGAAGATGGACGGGACTGAGTAACTTCCCACCCTGCAGACCTCCACCCATTTTCTCCCGCCACACTTTAGCCACCAGGAGCCTGGGGAACTCCATGGCTTTTGGTAAGGGTTAAGCTCACTGCCCTCCTGGGGACAGATTAGGAAGAGCTAGTAAATGGGGGGGGGGGGCTTGGAGACTCAGGATGCTGCCTGTCTGTGGGACAACTCATAGTTAGTGCCCTTTTTTTTTTTTTTTTTTTCTTTTTTTTTTTTTTTTTTTTTTTAGCTAAGTTCGCCCCTACGTTCAAGGCTTTAGGCTCAAAACTCTTTAGGTCCCCAGCCGGTGGCTTCCAAGTCCTGCCTCTTTTCCTCCCAGGACTCCAGGGGTCACCCCTTCTGCCCAGCAGTAAGTCAAGCCCCTCTTTCCAGGAGGCTGCTGCTAGCCATCTTGCAGGCCCAGGAATTTTTAGAACCTGAGAAAGACCTCAGCAGTTAGTCTCCATGCCCCCCAGCTGGGAAAGCTGTAAGGCCACTCTCTAGGGCTTGTTTGCTCTGCAGGGTGCCCTGTATGGAAGCAGGTGGGGACGGCATGGGCACTAGGTTGCCTCCCCCGCTGTGTGTGTCCTTGGAGTGAGTGAGCACGTACAAGAAGGCTGAAAGAAGCCAGGCGTGGTGGCACACACCTGTGATGCCAGCACTCGGGAGGCTGAGGCAGGAGGATCACTGGGAGCTGGAGGCATACGCTGCATTATACGCTGCATAATGAATTCATGGCTAGCCTGAACTGTGTAGCGAGACCTTGTCTCAAAAGAAAAAGTGCTGAGAGTGGGGCTGAGTTCGCACTCCTCCTCCGCAGGGTGCAGGAGAACGAGAGGCTGGATCTTGTCCTGTTGCCTTGAAGGACACCTGCCTCTTTCCTGCCTCTTTCCGTCCCCTGGTTCCTTCCCCACACCAGGTCTCACTCTCACTGGGAACACTGAGCCTTCACCCCAGAGTTTCAGGGGAAGCTACTGGGCCAGCCACCCGCCAGAGCCGTTGAGATAGGCGTCCTGTGTGGGCTTGTGGAAGGAAATGGGCCCCTGATCTCTGAGAGGAGGGGGAGCTCCTGATGGCCGGCCCTCAGGCTGATGGGGACCTCCTGACCTCATTGCTCTACAAGCCAGATGAGCTGTTTGCCTAGGAGGTGTCGAGGCTAAGCAGCTGTTTGTGTTTGGTGGACAAGCCCGGCTGGGTGACTGGCTGCATCATTTGCCCCAGGCAGCTGTGATCGTAAAGCACACAGGCAATGGCCTCGCCTCCCTCCTTCCTGGTCAGGGCCTGAGACCTGGGCTCCAGAGGGCCCCTTCCCCCACCTCTCCATCTGTCCTCTGACCAGGCAGCATCTGCAAAAGAGTGCCCCCCTTCCCCCACCTCACTCCATCTGTCCCCTAGCCAGGCAGCACCTGCAGAGAAAGAGAGAGAGAGAGAGAGAGAGAGAGTGTGTGTGTGTGTGTGTGTGTGTGTGTGTGTGTCTGTGTCCTGCATGCCTGTCCAGGCCTGTCCCAGGGGACAGGGTCTGAGAGAAGCCTGTCCTAACAGGAGCTCCTTGGAAAGATGGGACTCTCAGGCAGGCAGTACCTACCCCTGGGCCACTCTTCTCTGAGTCTAAAGGCTCTGCTACACTACCCTAGCCATTGACAGATTCTAGAACAGCCTTCAAGAAATGATCCCTCCTCCTTTCTATCTACTGTGGAAAGCATGCCACGGGCTAGGAAATCTTCCCACAGTCACACAGTAGGCCGTTTATAAGCCTTACGCACCTTCTGCTCAGCCCCCTTCTCTCTCCAAATTAGCTAATCCCAGTATACCACAACCACGGTGAGAAAGCTTCTGGCTCCGCGGTCAGATTCAGAGCCTCAAAAATCATCCAAGGGCCAGGAATGTAGCTCAGCGGCACAGCGCCTGCCTGGCAAGCACGAGGTCCTGAGTTGGATTCCTGGGACCAAAAAAATCATCCAAACCTACTCCCTGCTCGAACCTTGGAACAGTTTCCCAGGCAGTTGGGATCATCCCAGCAGTGAGTCTGGGCTCCTGCTCTCCAAGACTGAGGACTGACTGAGTGATGGGCTCCCCTCCACCATCCCTACATATTCTCTGGAGAAGCAGCACAGGGCTGGCAGACAATAAAGAGGAGGCTCCTCCCCACCCTCACGCCCCTCCCTGGAGCTGCCGCCCTTCTTACCTGCAGCAACCCCGGGGGTGCTAATTTGTGACATTTGCCCCATGTGTGTGGGAAGTTTCTGCCAAAAGAACTTCAGTCTCCCCATCACCGTATACATTTCAACCGTCATTCACGCAACCCCTTTGCAAACAAATGCTGTGACTCAAGATGAAACCCAAACAACAGTAATTTTAGAGTGTGCCCGAGCCGGCGCCACCACTCTGCCCCCACCCGGTCCTCACAGACTCCCTTGGGTGGGGATCCTGTCCAAGACACTGCTTCCCTTTCCCAGCCCTGCAGCCCCGCCCACTCACACGTGCACCTGAGTGGTAAACACGCAGAAGGGTGGAATCCCTGCACCGTGCAGTGACGCATAAATGTGACTAGGGTCACATGTGGCCACAGTCACTCAAATATGAGGCTCTCAGGGGTCCCTGAGGACATTTAGAGGTTTCAACTTGGGTTTCCAGGACACTGGGCAGGGCCAGGAGGGTGAGAAGAACCAGGAACCTTGGCAAAGCAGGGAGGAGAGAGAGGCAGGCTCCCCAGAGGAAGGTGCCGTGAGGTGCTGTGGCATCTTTTCTGTCTGCCCTCACCCCCACTCTGATCCTCTTTCCAGGCTGTCTCCCTGGAACCCCAGAAGCCCCTTGCCTCCCCCAGTGCCCATTAACCGCCTCTGCCCCATCTCCTAGGTGATGCTTCTGGGAGACTCAGGTGTCGGCAAAACCTGTTTCCTGATCCAATTCAAAGACGGGGCCTTCCTGTCCGGGACCTTCATAGCCACGGTCGGCATAGACTTCAGGGTGAGGTGGCTGTAGGTTCCTCCTCCAAGCAGTGAGCTGGGCTGTGGCGGCTTGGGCTCCGGGGCATTGTCCTCTCCTGGCCCCCTGAGAACCCCTCTATCTCGCTGCCTGGAGGCACCCAGGGCAGCTCCCCTTGGGGAGCATAGAGGTGGCCAGGTTGGAGGAGCCTGGGCAGGGCTGGCACCTTATCCACCTACAGGACGTGAAAATCAGGACCGGGTCTTCCTGTCCTCTGCTGCTGGCTGCGGGGCAGGGGGTGCGCCAGAGCAGAACAGACTCATCTCACTGTGTGAGCTGAGTTTCTTGGCTCTGCGGGACCCTTGCTTATGGCCCTGTGAGCCACACGCCCCCTGGCCAGGCTTCCAAGGTCAGTCTGTCTCCTGGAGTTGCCTTGCACTGGGCCTAGTGACTGGCCTGGCCTGAGGGAGACACCACAGCCAGGCAGGTCCCTCCCTCTCCCTGGAGGACTCGCTCTTCACAAATCTGCTGAGTATCACGTGCCAGCGGTCCAGGAAAGGGAGGGTCTACCCCTGGCAAGTGGTCTGCACCAAGCCTTAGTGCCTCCCCCAAGGGAGCAGACATCTGTGGGTAGCTAGAGGGACGGTGGCCCTGTGGGTCTAGTCACTAAGGGCCCTAGATTGCTGGTGGGCTCTCCCTCTCTTTCCCCTTGCCCCACCCCCTTCTCGGGAATGGGGGTTGAACCCAGGGCCTTTGCACTACACTATATCCCTATCCCTTTTTTTTAAAATTTTATTTTGAGATAAAGTCTTCCTAAATTGCCCAGGCTAGGCTCAAACCTTCAATCCTCCTGCCTCGGCCTCCCAGATTGCTGGGATTACAGACGTGTGCCACCATGCCCAGCTCAGGCACTGCATCTCTAAGGGCTTGGTGACAGTCGTGGAGCTGAAGTAGGGACAGGGGCACCACTGGGCAGTGCCAGACAGGTGCTCAGGCTCCGCTTGCCCTACTGTGTTGTGAGGACAGAGACGGGCTCCCCGGAAAGGAGGACTCTGAAGTGCGGGTGTCTGGGGCCAGGGCTTCCGCTGCCCTGAGGGAGCAATCAGGCTGGAGACGACCGCGGGGCTCGCCACACCACCTGTAGGCCTGGAGGCACCAGGACAAGATGTTGGCAGAGCCTCTCCTGCCCTGCCCACCCTCTGCCCTTTTCTCTTTCAGAACAAGGTGGTGACAGTGGATGGTGCAAGGGTGAAGCTACAGGTGAGCCGGAGGCTGGGGTGGGGAGGGAGGATGCAGGAGTCTGCTTTGCTCCTCACCCTGAACCACAGGAGGCCTGCAGCCCTGCCCTCAACCTGGGGTAATTTCCTGTGGAGCCCATGAGAGGAAATGGCTTCTTTGATGTCTGCAGAAAAAGCAGTTCCCAGGCACCTTCTCTGCTATCAGAGGCAGCTCAGAATGCCTCTGATAGAAGAGGCGTTTGAGCTGAGTTTAGCCTCCCTCCGTCCATTGCGTCCCTGTTTCCTGGGTTTGCATTGCTGAAGGAGGTTGGGCACCGCCCCCCGCCCCAAGCTAGGGACAGCACTGAATGGGCTTGAGAAGCCAGTAACTTCCACTGTCCAAATGTCACCAGACCTCACATGCCTACCGGGAACCTACAGAAGGAAACAGGCCCTGCCCCAGAGATAGATTCCCCCCTCAGGCGGCCCTCCTGCCAGCAGTCCCTAGGCCCTGCCTCCTTCCGACCTTTTCTCTGTCCCCTTTCTAGATCTGGGACACTGCAGGACAGGAGCGCTTCCGAAGTGTCACCCACGCCTACTACAGAGATGCCCAGGGTAAGGCTCTGTGCCCTCTCACCCCTCCCCAGCCCCTCTGTAGCACCCACGCTGCCGCTCTGAGTCCCTCTGTCGTCTCTCTCTCCCCCTCCAGCCTTGCTCCTGCTCTATGACATCACCAACAAATCTTCCTTCGACAACATCAGGGTAGGTCCCCCTTCCCCAGACACCCTCTCGCCCATAAGCGCCTATGCAGCCTCATTGCTTCCCGCCCTGGGAAGGGGCCAGACCCTGGAAGCCTGCCACCTGCCAAGGGGCACCTAGCTGTGCCTGGGCACTACCCTGTAGCCCCAGCACTACCCTGGACAGAGACACAGGGAGAGCCCAGCCAGGAAAGTCTACAAGTACTTAGTTACAGCGCTACCAGCCTTAGTTAGAGCGCTACCTAGCTGACAGTGTCTGTGTCCTCACAACCAATTCATTAGAGAACAGAGACACTAATTCAATAAGTATAAACACTAAGCTGGGCTTGATGGTACATGCCTATAATCCCAGCTAGGGAGGCTGAGGCAGAAAGATTGCAAGTCCAGGCCAGATGGGGCAACTTAGCAAGACTGTGTCTCAAAATCAAATTGCAAGAAAGTGCTGGGGATATAGCTCAGTAGGGCTTGATTCTTTAGCAATAAAATACATAAACAAATGTAAGCACTGAATCTGTGCACAACACTGTTAGAGGTTTCAGGTGCCCCTTGATGCCCAGGACGGTGTACTGACAGACAAACACAAAAGACATAAAAAGAATGGAAAATCACCGTCATACCTCCAACTCCACGTTCATGGCAGACATCACTAATCAATCACAGTACTTTTGGTCACTGAGCCCTGTGTAGTCTTAGAATCCTCAGTAGGTCACACCAGGAGGATGACCTGGGCCTCAGCCTTGGCCTGGCTCAGCTCGACCTCTCCTTCAGGCCTGGCTCACCGAGATTCACGAGTATGCCCAGAGGGATGTGGTGATTGTGCTGCTAGGCAACAAGGTGAGTGGCTCCAGGGCAGGTCTGCCCACCCCGCCCCTCCTCTCCCATGGCTGGGGCTTCAGCCCCACCCAGCTCCACACCACCCAAGAAAAGCTTTCCAGACATCCTGCCATAAAGGACCCTCTGATCTCCACTTCCGGAGTCAGACATATCCTAGGGAAGCCCAGTGCACTCTTAAAGCTTGGGAAATGGCCCCTCCCAGGGAAGGCCCAAGCTGCTGCCTGAGAGGAACAGGGTTGCCCAAGTGCCACTCTAGGTTAGATGGTAGGGAGCAGGATCAGGGGCTGACTGTGAAGGGTTTGCTGCCATTACTGTCACCATCCACTAGCCCCAAAGCTAGGTCACCACACCTGGGCGGAGAAGAGTTACCCACCCAAACAGCCAGGCACCCTGACCCCTAGCCAATCACAGCTGCCCGCAGTCCCCCAGGCCACCAGCAGAGGGCAGGCAGTGCATGCTCCTGGGGCAAAAGATGGGCCAGCTGGGTTAAGGCTTCCTTCCCCAGAGTGACCCACATGGGCTTGACAGGCGGATGTGAGCAGCGAAAGGGTGATCCGTTCGGAGGACGGAGAGACTCTGGCCAGGGTAAGTGACTGCCAGTAGGGTGGGATACATGGTGGGGCAAGCCAGAGGCTGGCCCTGAAGACACTCTCTCCCGGGCAGGAATACGGCGTTCCCTTCATGGAGACCAGCGCCAAGACGGGCATGAACGTGGAGTTAGCCTTCCTGGCCATTGCCAAGTGAGAGCTCAGCAGTGACGGGACGGAGCAGGACGCGAAGGCACCACTGGGGAGTCCAGTAGGGCCGAGCTCCTGGCCCAGCCCCTAGGCCCACATGCAGTCTGCATTCTTAGCTCCATTTGCCCCCAGCCGTGGGAATGAGGGTGGGCATGCTCAGCGCAGCACACCCAACCCAGCGCATCGCACCTCCTCTTCCAGGGAGCTGAAACACCGGGCAGGGCGGCAGGCCAACGAGCCCAGCTTCCAGATCCGAGATTATGTGGAGTCCCAGAAGAAACGCCCCAGCTGCTGCTCCTTTGTGTGACTCCCAAGGGGCTGAGAAGAGGCCCTCAGGATATAGCTGTCTCCCCAACACTGGCTTATTAGTGGCTGAGCCAAGCAAGAGTCAAGAGGTCCAGTACACAGCCCTTTCGCCCAGGCAGCTGCCTCATAGGTCCCACCCCTATTCCTGTAGCTTCCTGTATCCTGGGGAAGGGCAAAATATTTTATCTCTTTATCTGAACGATACATAATACCAAAACAAGAAAAAAGAAAAAGGCAACAGGATGCCCAGAAAACTGAGATAGGGACCTGGCAGTCCTTCTGCCTTCTTGAACTTAGAACTCGGACCTGAGAGGCTGGGCCTTCCTCCTAGCAACAGGGGTGGTACTGCCCCAGCTGGGTGTCAGGGGACACTATCGCCCCTGTGAGAGCTGCTAGTGACCCCCCTCGCCATTCTTCCGTCACCTGGAAGGGCTAAACAGCCCTGGCCTCCACTTCCGGCTCCCCGGGGCACGCTATCCCCCAGTAAATTTCACTGGGAGCCTAGACCTGGGGAAGATAGGAGTTGTAGAGATTGGGAGGGGCCAGCTTCCTGGGGCAGGAAAAAAGGAGTAGAGACTAGGGTCTGCCCTGCAGCTACCTCTGACCTTCTGACCCCTTCCTGGCAGTGTGCCCCCTCCCCTCCAGCACACAAGCACCCTGGAGCACCTGGAAACTTTGGCTTCTGTTCCCCAGACCTCAGATCCCAGAGGAACCCCTCCCTACATCACTGTCTCATCTGCCTTTCTGCTTGTGTCTCTAGACACTGGAGATCAGTTAGGAAAAGGTCTTTCTTCCCTTTCTAATCCTTCAGAGGGTGAGAAACCCCACAGCTACTTCTTCAAGCAGCAGAGGTGCTTAGCTCCCCTGGGATAAGGGCCAGACAAAGAGAAACTCCTCGATCCTGGACCATGAGAGGCAGACTTGAGCACACCTGCCCCCAAGTCTATCTCCCTAAACCCAAGCTCTCCCACCAACCCAACTACCATGCCCTTCGCTTTAACTTCTCAGACACCAGGGCAAGAACTGCTTTATCTCCACTCCTACTGAGACACATTAGGGAGTGGGAAATCCTCCGTTTCGGGGGGAACCAGTGCAGAGTACCGAGTAGGGACAAGTGGGTAAGCCTAGGGCAGCAAAGAGTTCGTGTAAGCCCAGCGTCACATTTTTCCCAAAGCTCTCACCTCAATCTTCGGGAAGTGAACCAGAGACATGCAGGTTGAGACCTTCAGGCACCTCACTCCAGCCCTGCAGGCCAGGGGTAGGGGAGGGGTAGGAAAGAAGTATTCGTGGCACATTTATGAGGCTGCTACATTTGCTTTCAAGGCAGGAATCTTGCTCTCTGAGCTCCCACTTGGGCCGATAAGATAAGGAAGCTCTCCCTAGCCTCTCCCAGGTGGAGCAGGGAGAGGCCTGACCTCGCAGGTCTCTTCTGGGACCCCAGGCAGGTTGCAAAAGATCCGGGCACCCAGGCAGCGTTTGTGTTTTTCAGAATTAAATTGCAGTATTTTGGAAAGTACACCCTGTCCACTGTTTGTTTGAAGTGGGTATGGGAGGAGGGATTGTGTTAAAGGGATTATTATTGCATGTTGGGGCAACTGTTGTTGACTGCCAGAATCATTCGATCTTCATCCGTCAGTGTCTTCAAAGGGCCACCTTACCCTTAAGTGACTGCTCCCCTCTGAGACCAGCCTATCTGGCAAGAGAGAGCCAGAAGGTTTATCTTACCTTCCTAGTCATTTTTCTTTCCCTGTTGAAAAAAGCCAGGGCTCCTTTCCCTGGGGAGTGCACCCTGAGATTGATTACCTGACTCTGTCTGTCCTCACTGCACCTCCCAAACCAAACGCCACCGATTCGAGTGCCCTCCAGCGCCCTAAGTGCGCGATCTAACTTGGGCTGCAAGAAGCCTCAGGCTCTATGCTGAACCCTCCGGCCTTCTCAGCTGGGATCAGAGCCCGCGCCCAATACGCAGGTCCTGGGACCGCGCAAAGTGACTCCACAAACGGAAACATTGTTATTCAAACAACTCCGTTGTGTCCAAGGAGGATCTCGGTCCAGTTCTTAAGACAGCCGGCCCTCTAGGCCCCAGTGCTGGGGCGGTTTCCCCAGCAACAGTCGCTATCCTCAAACGGAGCTGTGCACCAGGCTTTGGCTAAAGGCTGTTAAGACGCGAGGGTCTTCTGCCAGGGTCTGGCTCTGCTCAACCACCCCCGCACCCCGGCAACAGCGCATAAACTAGACTGCGGCCTGTGCTCCCCGCCCAATACCTGGAACTCGCTCTGGCCCCGCCCCGCCCGGCTCAACTCCTGCACTTGGTAACAAACACTTCCACTTCCTGAGCCCTCTTTCTTCGTCCGCCGCGGGGCGCCAAGCCTAGCATAGGCTCCGCCCCCGAGCCTTTCCATTGGCTCTCGCCATTCACCCGGCCCGAACGCCCCCGTCTGTGCCCTCTGATTGGGCTGTGATGGTCCACACCCTCGACGAGGTCCCGCCCCCGGCATTTGAGGCCGGCGGGGTTCTGGAACGCGCAGTGGCCGCGCGGGACAGGAGTTGGTCCGCGTTCCTGCGTCCGGTCTTCGCGGTTCGCGGCCGACGTTCCTGGGACACCTGCGCTTTCTGCCGGTGCAGGGATTCCTGCAACGTTCGCTCCCGCCCCCCGGTTCGTAGGGCGGGGAGAAAGGCTGGGCCGTTGTGTCCCGGACCCTCGACGGGACCCCGCTTCGCGCCGCTGAGCAGTCTCAGGGCGAGATGAGCGCGGACGCGGCGGCCGGGGCGCCCCTGCCCCGGCTCTGCTGCCTGGAGAAGGGTCCGAACGGCTACGGCTTCCACCTGCACGGGGAGAAGGGGAAAGTGGGCCAGTTCATCCGGCTGGTGGAGCCCGGCTCTCCGGCCGAGAAGGCGGGGCTGCTGGCCGGCGACCGGCTGGTGGGGGTGAACGGCGAGAACGTGGAGAAGGAGACGCACCAGCAGGTGGTGAGCCGCATCCGCGCCTCGCCCAACGCCGTGCGCCTGCTGGTGGTGGACCCCGAGACCGACGAGCAGCTGAAGAAGCTCGGCGTCCAGGTCGGGGAGGAGCTGCTGCGCGCCCAGGAAGAGCCCGGGCAGCCCGGGCAGGCCGAGCCGCCGGCCGCCAACGAGGCTCAGACGGACGGAAACGAAAATGAGCCGCGCGAGGCCGAGAAGAGCCCCCCGGAGCGGGTAAGTGGGGACCGGGCGGGGGGATCGTGGAGGGACCCCCGCGCCCCAGATGCCCTTTCTGAGACTCGAACCTCACCGGAGAGGGAGCCTGCTTCCGCCTGCGACTCGGCACCCTGACGGTTCCTGGACAGGCTTGAGGCTGCTTTCCGGGACCCCATCCCCCTACCCAGCCTTGTCTCTTGACCTTTAGGAAGGCAGCGCGAGGAAGCCTGGCCCCCTTGCCCTCGGCATAAGTCCCTCCGACCCCCCCCTACAAACTCGCTTCTGTGGGGGCGGAGGATCTCCGGGGTCCCAACAGCTCGGAGCTAGGCAGGGAGGAAGACCTCTCCGCCCGAGGGTCAGCTTCCTCCACCGTCCCTGTGTGTGGTAACTGAAATTGGGGCGAAGGCGACTGCGTCCCGACTTGAGAAAGCTGGAAGAATAACTCCCCATCTTCTGTGGGGAGCCCCCGGACTGAGGATGGCTCGGTCCCTGGGAGGGAGGTTCGCCCACATCTCCGTCAGCCTCCTGGTGTGTGTATCATTAACTTCACCCGGGCTGGACTTCAGCCTCCTGAAATGCACTGTGACTTCTAAAGAGAGGAAGCCCCAGCCTCTCTGAGCGACGTGTGGGGGTGGGGTGCTGGGAAGAGAAGCCGAGGCGTCTTGGGGGTGGTGGCTGTGCCACCCAGGAGGATTTATGATTCTCAGGAATGTGAGGAGTAAGCACTAGTTTGTATCAGGGAGGAGGAGGAGGAACGCTGGGGGAGGGAGCAGGCACATGGCCAGGCAGCGGCCAGCAGAGCCCACCGTGGGCAGGTGGTCTTGCCCTAGCGATGTTGCTTACTCCAGTGCCGGGACACCAAGCGGGCTGGGTGCCTTTGCCGGCGTTGAGCTTTGCTCCAAACAATCCCAGTTTGGATCAGCTGCAGGAGGGGCAGCTGGCAAAACAGGAGCTGTTGTGCTGAGCCTCCTGTCCCCAGAGAGCAGGGGAGGCCTGGATGCAGAGTGTGGGAGCGAGGCCTCTGAAACGCGCACCATTTCTCCACCTGATGGGCAGCTTGTGGCCATCGGTCTGTGGGGTGGGGAGGGCCCTCCCTGGATAGAGAAAAGGTAGAAGTGGAGACCGAGGACCAACTGGTTTGATGAAAGTGAGGTCACCAGGATCCCTGTCCAGCCAGAGCCAGGTGCTGGCAGTGCCAGAGTCACTACGCTCCCACCTCCTTGCACTGCCAACTTGGCATTGGCAGGGAGTGGGAGAGAAGTTGGAGCACCCCTGGCAGGGAGTTGACACTGGGGATTTGGAACCTATGACCTCTTCCCAGGCATTAACCCAGTTTGAACTTTGAGCCGAGTCCATCGATTTGTCATTCTCTCTTTTTTTTCCTCCTTTAGACTTTGGCACCCGCACAATGTCCCCATCACCACCACCAAGTTACAGTCATGTTCAGCTCCTCCCTTTGCCCTTTTGGGTCTGCTGCTGGGTGCCAGAGGGCCTGGGGGAGGTTCATGTAGAGATGGCAGCACACACGCCTCACCATGCCATCCAAAAAGGCAGTGGGCTTGGGTCTCCTGCTCTAGGGAAGCCCAGAGTCAGGTTCCCCCAGATGGTGGGGCAGCACAGGTGTTTGTGTGTATTCGTTAGGCCAGGAGACAGGAACACCATCACCACACAAGTCAGGCATTCTTTGAGATTTGATCTCATCCATAAAATGGGGACTTTTCTAGAATTTCAGAAATAAGGGAAGGGGGGCTGGGGATTTAGCTCAGCGGCAAAAAGCGCCTGCCTGGCAAGCGCAAGGTCGTGAGTTCGGTTCCCGGTACCAGAGAAAAACCAAAAAATAAAATAAAATAAAAAGAAATAAGGGAAGTACTGGTACCCCTCCTAGATGCTAAATTGGGCACATTTATGCTAGGCGTTTGGATCCCAGGTCTGTTCAAACAACTCCTTCCGCTTTGTTCATAGCTGATCAGCAATGCTAAGCCTCTAGTAGAACATCAGCATGTTCTGATACACTGAGCTTGCAGGTAACCCACCCTGGTACTGCAGAAAATGTCCATAAACATTGTGTTCCTTTTTTCTAAATGCGTTCCAGTCACTGCTTGCAGGTGATGCATGCCTGTAATCCCAGCACTCAAGAGGCTGAGGCAGGAGGATCACCACAAATTCAAGGCCAGCCTGGGTTACATAGTTAGTTCAAGGCCAGCCTAAACTATACAGCGAGACCCAGTCTCAAAATAAATAAATGAAATAAAGTGCATTCCTTTCCTACCTAAGGCATCTAATTGAGACTGACTAATTAGTTTCAGCCAGAATTTGTTTGTAGCGTGGGGCTGTTCCTGCATCTTCATCAGTGCTCATAAGTGAAGAAGGTAGGTGTGGAAGGTGCCAGGCAGAGATTGCTTAGCTGGGTGACATCTTGCTGGGGGACCAGCCCAGGTCAGGAATGACACAGGAAGAGTATAAGAGGTCCCTGGAGCACTGGCCAGTCCTGCTGGCCTGTCTAGGCCCAAGGAGGCAAAGGTGGGCTTCAACCCTCCCCAGAGGTTTTTCCCACCACCTGAGGACAGGGAGAAGCAGAAACAACTTGCTGTGCTGCTTCCCTGCTTAAAGCCCTCCTCCCAACCCCTATCACTATAGGAGGAGGCTCAAACCCTTGAGCTTGGGACCAAAGCGAGGGCTGGGCAGGTCTGAACCAGCTGAGCTGCACTGGCCGAGCTGCCTTGGCCAAGTTATTTCACCTCCCTGTGCTTCCATTTTCTCTTGTGTAAGTTGAGGCTGAGGGCAGTGACCTCACAGCGTTGTCAGGGTTACAGGCCCAGTGCTCAGTAGTCACTGTTTAATAGTTACCTGCTGTTCCATGCCCTTCCCCACCTGGCAGCTCTGGCTGACCCCCTAAACCACACCAAAGGTCCGAGTTGCCTTTTAGCCTCTCAGCCGTCACACGCTGATATTCTTAAGTCCGGGAATCCTCTGTCTACCTCTGCACCGGGCATACTCTCCAAGACCACTCAGCTCCGTAGAGCCTTTCCTTGATCCCCTCCTGCTTTTTGTCCTTGTATCTCTGGTTGCTTTGATTTTGTTTTGTTTGTTTTTTGGTTTTTGTTTTTGTCTTTTTGAGACAGGGTCTCACTATGCAGTTCAGGCTGGCCTTGAGCTCACTTTGTAGCCCAAGCTGGTCTCGAACTTGCAAACGATCCTCTTGCCTCAGTCTCCCAAGTGCTGGGATTACAGGCGTGAGCCACCACGCCCGGCTTTGGTTGCTTTGAGCAAGGCAGTATTTCAGTCATCTCTTGGTGACCTCCTGTACTATTGTGGTAACCCCGAGGGCAACAACTGAGG